GTGCCACATTGTGAAGGACATTTTGAAGAAGACTAAATTGTGTTGTTTTAGAGCAGTGGCTCCCAACCTTGGGTCACGACCCAAATCAGGATCATGGGGGATCTGCCCCTTGCTCTCCCCCTCCTGCCTGCAGGGCTCTCCCAGTTCACGGGACACGCGGCTCTCACCACCACTGCGATCGCGGCCCAGCCCGGGCTCTGCTGGCGCCACTGGGCATGAGTGAGTCGGTGGCAGGGGCAGGAGACGTGACCCAGATTTAGGGTTGCAGCAAAAAAGGGTTGGGAGCTGCTGTTTTAGAGTAGTTTACTTCAGGATTTTTCTGGCCTGCAGGCAGTATTTTGCCCATCCCTGCACTAAACCCTGATTAGAAGGGTGATGTATATATACACTAATCTCAGGATATTTTTGTTCCAGGCACAATTTATCCAGGGATAAATGCAATGTTTGTTCCTAGCTTTAGCCTAAGTAACAGGAACTGCAGTTGACTACCAGCCAAATGGTGAAACTGTTTATACATGAAGTGCTGCCAAATGTACAAAATAGAGTGGGGGCGGGGGGGGGAAAGAGGGAACATTATTTCTTTATAATGGTAAGTTCTTTCATTTATAAGTAAATTTAGGTGTTATGCATAAAGAGAGTAAGAAATAATTTTTAGATGATATAGGGTTTTCATGTTCCTTTAGGTTCCTTAGAGTGGATAATAAATAACCTGTGACTATACCTGTACTGATAATATGTGGTCCCTGTTCTCATTAACATACAGCAGGGAGTTCTTTAAAACATTGAATAAATTCATACTGACAAACTATAATTGCTCAAAGCTTTGCATAATGCAGTGCTATCTCAGTATTAAAAGCTACTCAGTCATTTTCTGAAGATCAGTAATATTCATTTAATTAAAAGAGCTGCGTTTTTTGAATATTTTTCTTCTATGCTTGAACAAATAAGCAAGTCAAATGGCAGGTGTATTATTTAAATACCCAGCAGTACTATTTTGACTCTTTTCCATCTCTGTGTATACTTTCAGATTAATCCCTTGTATAAACAGGCACAATGCCATTGGCTTCTGAAGAACTGCATCTGCTTACAGTTGGGCAAAATTTTATCAGTTGTGTAGCCTGATTATTACTAGTTTATGGAAAATCCCTTCATAGCTGTGGAAATTAAAGAGGGCTTACTGCACATCTCTTCAGTTGAAGCAGTTATGACTTCATACCTTTGGAAATGCTTAATGGATTTCCTAGGGGTTTATTGCTTAAGATTTATTTTTCACTTTTTCTACTTTAATTTAGAATCTGTTTTGGGATAAACCATTTTAAGCCACCCACTCAGCTCATGAAAATGCATCTATAAAAGAAAACAGATTTCAGTATTCCATCCAGCAATTGGTGTAAGGTAATCATGCAGAAAAATGGATCTGGAATGATCTACTTAGGTGTCTGCAGACAAAGTATAAACAATTAAGCTTATCTGAGTGTATTTGCTTGTAATATTAATGAAGTCAGAGTTGGCAACTTTAATTTTTGGAGCATGTTACTGTAATGTACATACACAATGTATTTGCCATTCAACCTGAATTTGATCTTACTTCACAAATGTAAATCATTGTATTTACCCAAATCCAAGATGACTTCAAATTTAATCTCCCCCCGCCCCCATAATTAGATTCTATACATGGAGAACTAGAAATTTGTTATCGTTTTCATATGTGGCATCTACTTAGTGGAAGGTTCTCTTAAATTAGCTGCTCCACCCCCACTTCTGTGGAAGAAAAAGTAGCAGCAGGGGGCAAGAGCCCAGACCCCTGCCCCTTGCTCCCCTGCCCTTGTTCTCCCATGCCTATGCCTGTCCCCACTGTTCCAGGCCTCTCTGCTGCCTGTTCCCTGCCATGTGCACCCCTGCCACATGCCTCACCATGCCTGTGCCTGCCCCCTGTCCCTTGCTCTGGATGCCTGTGACTCCCTTCCTCCCTTACCCTCTGATTTCTTGCTCTGGATGCCTGTGACTCCCTTCCTCCCCCACCCTCAGCTTTACCCCTGCAGCCTGTCCTCTGCCTTTTGCCCCCCCATGTCTGTGCCTACCCCCCACCCCTGCCCCCCCATGCCTGTGCTTGATCCCCTCTGCCTGTCCCTCCATGCCTAACTGCCCTCCCCCTCACTCCCTGACCACTCCTATCTCTTTATCTTCTGCTGCAGATCTGCACTTCTGGGGTAGTCAGCAGCAACAGAGGCCCTGGCCTGGCCCCAGCCCAGCCAGGGAGAAATGGTGGCAGCTCCCAGATGGGCCAGATCAGAACCAGAGATAGAGCAGAAGTTACGGGGGGAGTAAAGGGGGGAGAACAAATTTCCAGAACAGCATCGGCAGCATCGGCCAATCTCAGGGGATGCACATGCACCTGCATGCACCCCGTATGCATTGCCAGTGGTCCCAGCTGCCCTTCTCCCAGGAGCCCCACACCAGCTGTGTACTCTTGCCTGCCCATCAGCACCAGGAGGCACAACTCCACGCCACTACCAGGCAGGCAGGGGGCACTTGGCCATGGTGGTGTGGGGCTCCCAAGGGGAGAGCAGCAGGGCAGGGAGCCCTGAGCCTGCAGTAGGCAGCCAACATCTGCCCCTGCCCTGCATACAAATCTGGGGGGGCACATGCCCCTCATGCTCCCTTCAGGAGTGCACGCAGCGGCAGGAAGCCTCCCTCTCCCTCCCACCCTCTGCCCTTTGGACAAGCTTTCTGTGGCTCTGTCCCACTCCCTGCCCTGGCTCCAGGCCCCATGCATTGCCTCAGCTGGGCAGTGCCCCCAATACCAGCCTCTGCTCCACTCCCTCCCTCACCAAGGCAGTCTCTCTGCTCTCTGTACAATCTTACCTGCAGGGAGCTGTTCTCCACACTGCCTGGCTGTATTCCTGGCCATGTGCATGTGTGCGGGCATGCACACGGCAACCCCTGCATCCTGCTCCCAGCAGCTGCAAGCAGCCCCTGCAGGCTGGAATGCTGCCGGCCTGCAAGGGGAATCTCACCATTTTCCGATCCCTGCACGATACTGTGAATCCAGGACAAATGCTGTCCCAGTCATGCAGCCTGGGCCTGGGACTTGAGGTTTCCATTCCAGGACTATCCTGCCCAATTAGGGATGGGTGGTCACCCTACCAAAGCCAGAACTGAATCTCTACCTGCCCTAGGCCAGTACTTGAATCCAAACTGTGGCTTTTTCCCCCCAAGGCTGCTTAGGAGAAAAAAGCCTCATCTTGGATTCAAATAAATAATGGTAGCTACTTTCCAGAAAACTGCAGTTATAAAACTGATTCAGTGATTCAGAACTGTTATGTCACAAATTAAAATAAGTCAAGCAAGTACAGGTTGAAGTCAGTCAGTTTACCTATGACAGACTATGTTGCTAAGAAACTGGCAACCCCTGAATGTAATCCTCACATTACCTCAGAATCCGTATGAGCCAGTTACCAAAAACTCGCTTATAAAAATGGAGATACCTACTTCTGAAAAGAGCCACAAGAGGATGTGTGGCTAACTGCAAAACTTCCACTGACTGCAGACAAGAAAGATCACTCCTTTAAAACATTGCTTTCTATAAATACCTCTGAAGGTCTGCTTTCATTCCAGGAGACCTGGAAATAACTACTCATGTAAGAAAAATATAGAGTCAAAACACCTTGTCTGAAATGGTTCATATTTTTAAAAAATTATGAAGTTCTGTTTCAGGTAGCATTTTTATCTTAAATACATAGATTTTAAACAAGTCTGATCAAATACTAAATGTTTGTCTAAAAAAAACTGATATTGGATTCTCATTATTTTAAATGAATTAGATTCTATCTGCATGTCTTGTGTGCGAACTAATGGAACAAGAAACCAAACTGCTTTTTCCACAAAAAGAAGAGTAAATATAGAATTATTTATGGAAGGAACGTTAACTAAAAATGATTCTCAGTAGAAATCCTCTTCTGCTCAAAGCTCGCACTATTTCATAAGTATGAAAAACCTAGTTAATAATGATTTTACTACAATTATATTAAAATAATAAACTGGCATATTTAATTTAAAGCACACTCTTTTTTCTTCTGTGATAAAATCCTGCAGTTCATTTCAGCATTGAGATAGAGAATATAATTTCAGTGACTAAAGAAGAAAAATACGTTTTCCTTAAGAATCCCATTAGTCAGAGCTTTGTGAAGTCATTAGTGCTAATATTTCAGTGAACGTTCTGAAGAGTTCTTCCCTTCAAAAAAGGCAGATGTGTTCTGAGGATCTAATAGCACCATATTATAAGTTGACTGCCACCAAAACTTGTTTATTGCCTCTACCTGCAGGTTAGAAAACCTCCTTTGGGTGTATCAATGCATATAATAATACATGGGAATCTTTTTGAAAACAAAGCTGAAAAAAACACACAGGAAATTTTTTCATTTTTTTTAATGCACCATCTTTCATCTGGCAAAAATAATGAATTCTGGGAGTAGCAGAGCTCAACCTTTACTTATGTTAATAATAAAAAAAAAACTGAGGTAAATATGTGTACTGGAGGTTTAAAAAGTTAAACGTAGGAAAATGAAGGCTAATAGGTATGGAGCTAACATTTCTCTGTACCTTTGTTGATGGATGAAGATTTTTTGAAGCTAGAAATATAGAATATTAGAGCTAAAATAAGTTCCTGCAAATACAGTACCATTAAAATTAGAGATGCAATATCTGAAAGAAGAAACATTACTTTGAAAAATGATGTTGGTAATTATTGATTCCCTCGCTTTTTTACTGAATCTTACACCTACTATATTGTTTTACATTACAGGTTCATCAAGTTGTAAAACTTCATTACTGGTTATTGGTGGGTTTTTTTGTGCTAAAAATAGATACAAATTAATAGAAAGGGGCAGTGATATCATTTTAAAAATGTCCCAATAGAATACATAGGCACTAAAATAGTTGTTAGATTTCTATGGAATCTAGGCAATACAATAATGCTTTCATTTTATTTTTTTTAACAGATTAAGATGCTTGGTAAAGCAGCTGGAGAAAGGCGACGTTAATGTGGTAGATTTGAAAAAGAATATTGAATATGCAGCATCTGTGCTGGAAGCCGTTTATATTGATGAAACCAGGTAAGTCATTAAAAAAAAATGGTGCCTTATACCATGTTGGTGGGAAAGTGGGAGTGGTCTTCTGTTGTATCATTGATCCTTGCACATAATTCTTACTGATGTCATTTGAAGATCATCAAAAGCTTTACAGCCAGTGTATGACTCTTAGTTCTTAAGATCAATAGTATTTAACATTCCAGAAGTCAAGTTTCCCCCCTGGGGAGAGCATGCTGAACTCCCATGTACTTTGAAGGCTCAATGGATGAAGCACAATCCAATGCAATAAGACTTGTATTAATAGGTATATGAGATTGATAGTCTTTGCTGTCCTCAAAACTATTTTTATTATGAAAAGTACTGTTGAAGAAAAAGGGACTTGTTCTGAAATGAAGAGCTTTTAAAGATAAGAAGGGGTATCTGAGTATAAATAATTTTATGAAAATCTACAATTTTTATTTTACTATGCTTTTACAAGCACAAAAATGATGGCTGTTACTGGAATTATGACTTTAAGTTATTTTAAATGGGCTGGCTTTAATCAAATGGTAAATTCTACATAGTCCTGTGTTTGATTTCTTGAAATAATTCTAAGATTTTCATATTCATTGTGAAGTTAATGTACTAATTCTAAGACAATTTTCTGGTGATTTTTTTAACTCTTATATTTCACGAAATTGACCTTTTTAAGTGTTCTCTTGAACTGAACATGCTTTTATGACTGTTTGCTAAAGCCTCTCTACTTTGATGTGCAGCATGTGCTAGGTTGCAATTCCTTATTAAATCTAAGAACATCTGACTTTTTTAATAATCATCTTGAGAACCTAAACTTCTTTTTCTCTTTTAAAAAAAATCTTATGTTTTATACAGTACATATAAAAACTCAGTTTAATAGGGGGTTGGTTAAATGCATTGAGATACTACTGAAAAACATTCAGATGCTGCAGTGAGCAATGGGGTATAAAAACCAAGAGCATAGAATAGAATAGAATAGAATAGCTTCTCCACTTAGAAAGATGGATTCAAATATTTATGTAATAATTCTATTCCATTGCCTTTCAGATGTAACCTTCATGTACAAACTATTATGTATCTCAAATGCGGAAGTCCTACTGTGCCTGGGAAACCAGTCCTATCCCAACCAGAAAAATGAGGAAATCAAAGCAATATAAAATACCTTTTAGTTGGAATTTAGGCACAATTCACAGCTACTGGTATTGCTTTTAACAGACTAACTTATGCATGCTCCTGAGACTGCAGCATATCGAGCCAGCTCAGAGCAGCCCCAGCTAGCAGGAGGCCCCAAGGATCAGTCTGCTAGTTTGGGGCTGCTCCAACTTGGCTCAACTTGCTGCAGTGGGGCACAAGACTGCTCTAGCGTGGGGCTAGCCAGCAGGCAGCCCCTGCAGTGAAGCACCTTTGTGGCCCAGGCAGCCCTGTCAGCATCTACACGTGCGTTGTGGTGCACTAAATAATGCTGTTGTGTTGACAAGCAGCATTTATTAGTCTACTGCAGCCTAATAGGGCCACACACGTAGATGGTGAGACTTTACTGAAGAGCTAATTAGGTAACTCCACAGTAAACATCTCATGTAGATGCCCCATGGGATCCTAATTAACTACAGCTAAATCAAGATAAACCTGGTTTCAAATTAAATGTGTCCACTCATATGTTTACATCAATGTAATGAAATCAGTTTAAAACCACATCTTTTGTTAAACTGGTAATACTGAGTTATATAGACATACTCTCAGAAAAACTTGCTTCACATGGCCTTATGCCCATTCCCAACATGAGCTGCTGTAGTATCTCTAATATGTCAGACCCACTCTCAGCTATAAACATTTCTTTGCTTATGACTGCCTGCAGGACTCACTTCTCTAGGTAGCTTATGAAATTCTCAGTCGTACCTGAACTATTTTACAATATTTTTCTATGGAAACAGTCCATAGAAACTCCTATTGCTTATGTAATTTGATTTAAGTATATTGTTTCTATTAGCAATAATAAGAGATGCATTACATAGACTTCTGCAGCTACTGGCAAGGGCTTAAAGCACCAGTGATGAGGGAAATGTACTCCTTCCAAATGTACACCTCCCAAACACTGTCATTAGGTGGATGTGCTGTTCCTCACCCAGTTCTGAGTTTAATCACTCTTGCACATGAGGGACTGTAAGGAAATGAAAAGAGCCAATATATTGAAGGATCCGAGGCTTTGGAGTTGTGTGTGGGAGGATATACCAGAAGACAGCTAAATAAACATTATGAGAAACAGGTTTCATATGAAGAGAGGTTAATATGCCACAAATCATATTCCATAGTTGTAATAGGTGTATTAAATTTAGTGAGTAAAATCATTAAGGCAATTGCTATCATGGGGCCAACATGCCAATTAATGGCAGTCAAATAAAAACAAACATACATAATTTCATCTTCAAGTTATTTCCTTAGAAGACTCATTTTAAGACCTCATAACCAAGACTACTAAAATATTTTCAAGAATAATTAAATATTTGAAGAAAACTTCTTCCTTTTCTTTGATCTGATATAAATCAACATTATTTATTTATATGTTATTTAAACCAGTTTTCAGTAAATCAATCTAATTCTTGGTAGCATTAAATCAGGAGAAACCCAAGTGACTTCTTTCTCCATTTTCTAACTTTACTGAGCATTTTCATTCTCAAATACAACTTCAAAATGAGTACTGGACTCGATTCATAAACCTACCAAGTTCTGGCATCGCTTTCTGTAGAAATACATGCCACACTGTAAAGTGACCCTGCCAGGTTTATATACAATCTGTGGATTTATGTATATGCCTACAAACACACCCGTATGTATTTTTGTATTTACGTATTAATATGTATTCACACAACCATATATAAAACAACTTTCTTTACTATTTAAATATACATTTACTTTCATAATGTTGGCTGCTTGCTTTAACATTTACATGTTATACACCATATTTTTCAGTTTGACTTATAGTTTCATTTTCATTTTCCATTTTTTATGGACAGCTCTGGAGCTGTGGAGGGTGCCAGAGCTTGCCCAGTCCCAGGGCTGAGAGAGGAAGGTAGGCAACTTAGGCAAGCATTCGTTAAGTCAGGTTAATCCATTTTAAGTCAGGTTAAGCCATTCTGAACTAAAGCTGGCTCTCATTTAGGCATGCCAGTTTTAGGCGAACTAAGTCCTGCAAATGCTTGCACAGTTAGGGCAATCTAAATGTAATGCTGGTATGCATGCAAAACTAACTGCATTTTAACAGCCTCAGCCCTCTAGTCCAAATCTTCATGAGAAAGTTTAGAAACAATCCATAGACAAGCTCTGTTCCACTTTTGAGGAGCAAATCTTGCATTTAGCAGGAATTATGAAATTATTACATCCCACTGAAATAATGTAGGGGAAAGTTAATTTTGTGGCCAAAGAAGAAAGTAATTACTTTGTGCCACAGATAACTTCTACCAGTGGAAATTTGGAATTGAATTAAATGTATCTGGAAGTTAAAAAGCAGTCGTATCTTAGAGCAGTATTATCTTGGAGTATCAAAAAAGAGATTAAACTCTTCTGACTCTGAACATACATTTCTTCATACAACAATAGGTATATTGATGACAGCAAGATATTCATTCATTCAAAAACTATTGTGTTGGATTTTTTAACTGGTTTATTTTTACTGTGCATCTCTTGATCAGAAAGTACCTTTACAAACTTACTCTCAAACTCCAGCTATACAACTTGAAAATTTAAACTAACTTCCTTCGTAGGATTTTGTTTATAAAGAGAGAAATCTGTTTTGGTTTGATCTTGCAAGGCATAACACGTAGGTTGTTTGTTGCTCATGCACTGAGCATATCTAATATCAGTAAGTGTCTGTGCAGGCCAATACTCCTCCCAAGTACTACACATTGCAGGATCATGGCCAAAATAAATTGCCTGCTTTTAGGGTTCCTCACTCCAGATTTCTCAGCCCACACACAAGATCCTCTGTTTGAAAAGCCACTTTTACTGCTCATATTCAAGTGAGGTATACTGCTGCCTGCCACATCAGCCAGCAAAGATTATCTAAGCAGAATCAGCACCTGCTAAAAGGAGGAAGTGTTTTGTATGACCACTGCCATCTTCTTACACTGTAATTGAAGGAGCTATCCACATTTGTGTACTATTACTTCATTTGAGTCAAAGGAAAAGAAATACATCTACACTGAAAAGTTGTGTGTGCAACTAGACTGTACACACAATTAGAACCGCCAGACCCTCATGTGTTTCTTTATAGAATGCAGAATTCATACTGAAATCAAGCCTTAAAATGAAGCTATTACAATGCAAAAGATACATCTTAGATTCTCTTGTTCTGCTTTGTTGCTCTACCATTTCATATAATCCAAGGTTGCGGTAGAAAAAAAAATATTTTAAGATTTGACTATATTTTTTGAGAAAAATGCTAACAGCTTTATTTATGAAGTGCTGGATCTGGTCTCCTTAGAAACTAGGCTGGCAGTTGGGAAAGCCTCCCAGAGCTATATGAAATTATGTTTTTCTTTTGGGCAGCAATTGTAAATGTCTCATTAAAAAAATAGTTGAAGCCCTCAATCTTCAAAAGATGCTCCTGTCGGTTCTTGAGTGGGTGAGAAATCAGAAAGCAAAAAGAAATCAAAATGTTTCAGGGACATGTCTACTGGAGGAAAGCTGGTTCACTGGAGACTTAACAGTCTCTGAACCTATTTTAATTATCCCTTGTCGTTCTAATAGCAAACTGATAATGGAAAAGCAAAATAAGAAGAAGAAATATTTTTCTTTAAAGTCCTCCCCTTGCAATTTAACATTTTAATATTGGTGGGTCTTACTCTAGGAACACAAGACCTCAAGGTCATCCCGTCGAACTCTCAGTTCAAGGCAGGAACATCCTTGTCTAAACCATCCCCAACAAATGTTGTCTAACCTGCTCTTAAAAACTTCTAATGAAGGAAATTCCAAAAAGTCTCTAGATAATCTATTCAATTGTTTAACCACGCTCA